AAAACCCACTGCCATCGAGTGGGATCTGACTCATAGCGACCCCTCCTTGGGTTTCCGAGGCAGTATCACTACGGAAGTAGATTGTCCAACCTTCCTTCCGAGGAGTGGCTGGTGGGTTTCAACCACCAGCTTTCCGGTTAGCAGTCAAATGCCTTAGGCACTACACCACCAGAGCTCCCTGTAATATAAGTGAGGTGGAGCAAATATACAACATAACAAGAAGGCGGAGTGTGATTAACAACAGGGGAGGAAGATAGTATGAGGGTTTCAAAGGAGAGATAGCTGGTTTAGGGTAGTTCAAAGAAAGCTGAAAAGATGGAAAGGGGATTTTTAAAGGTGTTAAAAGATGAGTAGGATTTTCTAACAAATACACTTACTCCTCACTAATCAACTATCTCCTCATCCAACATTTTGCATTTATGACCATAGCAAAAATTCTACTATCCAACTATTTTGCCCACTAACAATGTACATCTGGCAGTAATGAATGCCGAGGTGCTGCTAGGTCAGAGTAATGCTAGTTGTGATGGTTAAGGTTAGGTTTGAACTTGGCTGGGCCATGATTTTTAGTGGTTTGGTAGTTACTAAATGATGTAACTTGCCAGTTTTGTAATGATGTAGTCATACTCCATTTTCACATACTATTTTTCCCATAACCACCTGGTTTTTAGAACCTAATTATGTCACTAAGTGAGGAGCAGATGTACTAAAAAAAAAGAAAAAAGGTTCAGGAAGTTAGAGGGAGAATAATTTGTTCCTGTTTATAAAACGTGTAATCCAAGTTAGCTGTAGTCCTTTGAGCAGATTCAGTGTATAGGGAAAGATGTTGATAGGGTTCTCATGTGGAGGGCCTTGAATAAAGGATTTTAACCTTAGTGTAGTCACTGTTGGAGAACAATCAATGGTTTTTTAAGTTGGAGGTGTCAAAGAGTATTGAAGAAAGGAAACAATAAAACAGGAAAATAAATTAGGCTATTGCAATTATACAGATGAGAATTGGCTAACAGTCTGAATTAGAGAGATGGCAGTGTAAATAGGAGAGACAATCAAGACATATTTGAGACCCTGAAAACTCGGGATTTAGCAACTAAAAAAATGCAAAGGGATTAGGGAGGTGGGTGGAATGGGGGGCAGTAAATGCAGAGGGAGAAAGAATTTAAAGATAATGTGAAAGCTGGTTTGTCTTGGACAGGGTTTCCCGACTGTGGCACTATTGATATTTTTGGCTAGGTATTTGTTGTGGGGAGCAGCTCAGCACATTGTAGGATGTTTAGCAGCATCCCTGTCCTCTACACATGAGATGCCAGTAGCATACTTCTCCCCAACTGCCTAGTCATGACAAAGAAAAAGGTTTCCATATGAGACAAAATCACCTCTAGTTGAAAACTACTGGTCACAGAGAATGGTTCTGGAATTAGTGTGGGCCTACCAGACAAGGTAGAGTTACTGGGTGGTGCAAGTTGTCTGCACTTGACTACTAACCTAGACTGGAGGTTTGAACCCACCCAGTGGTATCACAAAATAAAGACCTGGCAATCTGCTTCCCTAAGATTCCAAACCAAAAAACCAAACACACTGCATTTCTGAGACGGTAAATCTTTACGGAAGTAGACTGCCCAGTCTTCCTTCCATGTAGTGGGCGGGGGGTCTGAACACTTTTAACAGCCAACCTGCTGGTTAGCAGTCAAATGCCTTAGGCACTCACTATGCCACCCTATGGGGCTGTTCTCTGTAACACATGAGGTTGTCAGGAGTTGGAATCAATTCAATGGAGTTTGGGCCAGAGGAGGTGCCAAAATTGTTTTTTGACCACAATGTTAAACTTTACGAAGCTATATATTTTTCTGCAAGACATGCTGAATTTGTGCAGGAGAGCAGATGAGATCTTTTCAACAAATGTTCGTTTCAGTTTCAGACATATCACTCACATCTGTAGGAATTATATGTCCTCCAACCATAGTTATGCAGGCAGTCCTCTCAAGTGACAAGCCATCTCATCAGAAAAGGACAATAGTTACGCAGACAACTTAAGGAAAAATCCTAGTTTTAAATATCTTTGAATAGTCACCTGTATTATGTATCAACTTGGCTGGGCCTGGTTTTGAGTGGTTGAGCGACTAGATGTAGTTATTCCCCTTGATGTGACTGGTAATCAACTCCATGGTGGAATCTACTGTGAGCAGCTGAACAGCTGCATTAGGGATGTGGTCTGCTTCCAACATGTAAAAAACAAGTAATAAAGGTCTCAAGCTTTTTGGCACATCTGGATCCTGCATTTGGCTGAGTCTTTATCTCAGTGGCCTGCCATGTTGCTTGCCAATCTTGAGACAGTTTCTGGACTTGAAATAGTAGCCTGCTGTGTTGCTTGATAATCTGAGGACTGTTGCCTTTTTATTTGTCAACCTCAGAAGTCAGCAGCTGTCTGAATTAAGAGACACCTCCAGCTCCAGTGGGCTGGGAGCAAGAGGCAGAGCTAAAGCCCAAGGTCAAGTGGCCTTCATCCAGCCTCTAGAGTGGCTACTGTGAACTCAGACATCTAACCTCCTGAACTGTAAGAGAATAAATCCCTGTCTGTCAAAGCCATCCATTTGTGCTATTTCTGTTAGAGTAGCACTAGAGAACCAAAACATCATCCATATTATGCTTAGTTTAATTTTACTAATTTGAGTATTTTAACTACATAAGCTGGTTAACAATCTTTAAAACCTATTTATTAATCAGTTTTATATTTATATTGTGGTCTGCTTTGCAGTATATTGTCCTTTTTTCCGTTAGTTTTACTTCTAGTTCACAGTATTTTCCCATCCATTTATAGTTAGACCAGTGATTACATTTTTATTAGTGATGGATTTTATCTTTTGGTACTAGTTTTATTTAAAATTAAAAGTATTATTTAATTATACACTGGAATCTCTGGATCGTGCAAATGTTTAATGCATCTGCTAATTGAAAGGTTAAAAGTGCCAGTCCCTGCAGAGGCTGCTCAGAAGAAAGGCCTGGTGATCTACTTCTGGAAAACAACAAAAAAAGCCACTGAAAACCCGATGGAACACAGTTCTCCTCTGACACACATGGGGATGACATGAATCAAAACTGACTGTATGGCAACTTTTTTTTTAAACCAAAAAAGTTATATATCATTTAAAAAAATTTTTTTTTTTAAATTTAGGTCTTGTTCAGAAAATCATTTAGGTAAAAACTATTGTACATTGAATGGCATGCGAATTTTGAATTTGTAGTTGTACACACCTTAATGCTATCATAATATAAATGATTTGGATATGGTTATCTACGTTTTAGGAGCTCTGGTGGCATAGTGTTTCAGGTGTTTGACTGCTAAACAGAAGGGTGGTGGTTCAAACCCACCAGCCACTCCTCGGAAGGAAGATCAGACAATCTACTTCTGTAGAGATACTGCCTCGGAAACCCAAGGAGGGGCTGCTATGAGTTGAATCGACTCGGTGACAGTGAGTTTGTTTTTTTGTTTATCTAGGTTTTAGTTCTTTATGCAATGATATTTAGAAAAATATGCAAATAATAATTAAGATACATTGATGTTCCCAGAGCAGGAACAATGAGGACCTCAGATATCTACAAGATGCCCAGACCCATCCTGAGGCTGTCTAGAAAGTCTACCTTAAGAGCAAGCAGTAAGGAAATCAGGAAAAGGAGTTAATTTCTTACCACAGAAAACCACTCCTTCCTACAAACCTGATAAAACATCAGCCCCATCATATTTTGTGCACTTTATATGAAATAAACTATACATCTACAAAGTAAGAGTACTTTCCATTGCAAAATCAATGAAACAAAAATGCCATTGTAGCAAAATTGAAAATGTTTAATATTTTCAAAACTTTAACTATACTACTGAAAATAAATTATATTTAGACCACCTTCAATATTTGTACATCATCTTTATACAACTAGAACAGTGCTTTCAAAAGAAATTTTGTAAAAGACATTAATTTCACCATTAAAACATATTTAAAAATTAAAGGAAACAGTAAAGAACAGTAAGTTAGTCTGAAATATATCTCATAGTGCTGAGAGTTATCCTGTGTTTTATTAAATTAACTGTATTTGTATTCAAAATAACATGGCTTTTAACTAATGGCAATTATTTCTTGTCCATTTCAGTGATTTCTTGGATCCAAAACAAAATCTGTGTATTTATTTCTTTGAAAACATCATTTGTTGACCGTCCTTTCACTGCCATGGAATGATTTGCCTTCTCAATCCAGTAGATTTTACTAGGAGCTTGCATTTTCTGTGTCACTCTCTCCAACAAGTTCTAAGGAAAAAAAAGAAGAGGGTACTAGACTAATGCTTCATTGTTGTTTAATAAAAGAGATTTAGATGCTCTCTCCCTTGCCTACACTGGCATTCAATCATCAAGTATTTATTAAATACCTACTCTACAGACAATTTTCTAGGCAATGGAATGTGCAAAGAAATGTCCACAGATGTGGAGGTCTACTTCTCTCAGACATAGTAATTGCACAGAAAAAATTATTATTGATGATACAGTATTATTACATAAAATGGATGACATAAAGTTCTTCCAAACAAGTATTTTTCCCAAGGAACATATATGCTCTGGTAAATATGCAGGTGTTTCATAATATTGATCTAATACAAGTTACTCTTTACTCAAGACTCAATTTTATAATGAACTTAGTAATTTGCCTAAATACTGAAATGATAACCCACTGCTATCGAGTCAGGTCTGACTCACAGTGACCCCTCCTTGGGTTTCCAAGGCGTTATCACTACGGAAGTAGATTGCCCAACGTTCCTTCTGGGGATTGGTTGGTGGGTTTGAACTGCCAGCCTCCTGGTTAGCAGTCAAATGCCTTAGGCGCTACTCCACTAGAGCTCCCACTGAAATGATAAACTCTAGTAATTCCTAAATCGGAGGACTCAAAATATTAACCTTTCATTTCCCAAATAAGGGTTAATCCATTTACCAACTCTTTTTCCAGGGAGATAAATTTATTCAGTATTCTTATATTTTTAAGTTCTCCAAAACAATAGGGTAAGTAAGGCACAAAACTAGTATCAATTGCATCTTTTTAAAGAGAGTGACTGTTGCAGGTAATATTTCACTCCCAAGATCTCTCTCTCATTCACACATACATTGAATTGTAATTCACCTTTTCACACATTTCATCTGCTGAGCCCGACACAAAGAGTACGGGATCTTTTATACGAAAGAGATCTTCATCTCTCAGTTTATGCTGCTGCTTTGGATGGTGCAGTGGATAAGAAATACAAATGAGACCTCGAACAAAATCATCAGCATCATCTGGCTCAATATGACATATTACAGAAGCAGCTGCTCTTGAACCCATTGAACGACCTAAAATCAATTAAATTTAAGTTGAATTTAAAATATAAACATTCATATAAAGTAGTGGTGATGTTAGATTTCATTTTGTATTCATCTGCCATATTTCTATATCAACAAATCATTTTTTAATTCCTAAAATGAGGCAATTAACAAGCTGCAATCTCCACAATGGATACCTATTGCCTCATGAAGAACTAAAACTTGATCATAAGTCAAATAAAATAATAGTAGCAATTATTTTTCTGAAGAATACTTAAAGGGTTGAGGACAAGCCTTGTAAAGGAAGCCCTTAAGAGGGTGATCAGGAATGCAAATAAAAGGAGAGATTTTTGGGTTTCAATAAATGTACATATGGAGTTTAAAGTTTCTTTAAATACATAAAGTATTTTAGCATCAAGGAGGTGATTTCTTAGAAGTAAAAAATAATCCTTAACTTAGCTTCCTGTTATCAATTAATATTAATTCTCAATTATTTATTCCTATATTAAAATGGGTAAATTCTAAAATAAGTGCCCATAAGTATTACAACTTACCTCCAAGAAAAACACCTGTAAGTTTGTATTCTCCTGAGGTCTTTAGGTAATTCTAGAAAAATCAACCAAAAAATGATCAATTCTTCACCCACAAATTATTCCACTAAAAAACGTATGTATTATTTCTTATCATTACTGAATATCTATTAAAGATAACCACAAAATCTTAAGAGATTCCTTACTATATTCCATCCCCCACACTATCTAATTATTTTTGGTCCTTTTCTAATCATGTCTTCACTATCAAAATCACATGTTGGGTAATACAGGTAAATATGTGAGAAATATTTCTAAAAATATTCAAGTACTAAATTACTTAAAAAAGTATGAACTATATATACATATATATGTGTGTGTGTGTGTGTGTGTATACATATACACACACACACATATAAGTCTAAGGCTAGTAAAAGCTTTCAACTAATGTTACAAATGTCTAATTCATAAAATTAACATATATGAGTCCATTCTGACTCACAGCAACCTATATGACAGAGTAGAACTACCACATAGGTTTTCCTAGGCTGTCATCTTTCCAGAAGCAGATCTTCAGGTCTTATCTCCTGAAGAGCCACTGGTGGGTTCCAACTGTGACTTTCTGGTTAACAGCCAAACATTTAACCATTGCACCACCAGGGCTCCTAATGTAACATCTAATAAATAAATGTAATTAATTAGTAAAAGCTCTAAAAAGTTTAACAAGTTTTAGAGAATTTAGACTAAAAGAAATTTCAGCTTTTATTCAGGAATTTTAAGCAATATTATCTAAATAACATATACAGAAAACTGTGTTATGTTTGTAAATGCATAGTATAGCAGACAAAATATTCTGGAATGCTAGAGTATATAAAGTTATATAATATTATCATAAGTAGCTTAGCAGTATCACTGAGGGACATTTATGATGTCAGCATGTATATCCATGGAAACTGATGGCAAAGAAGAGGAATGTGACCACTAATTAGCCCTCATGTGCTGTTGATTTTCTAAAGATACTCATGAAATGATTTTCTAAATGACCAATAAACTTAAGTTTATTAAGAATTTAAACAGAATTCTGTTATAAGTAAGTATAAGGAAGCTCTCTTACCAAAACTGATTTATATGCCTTAATTCTATGTACAATATTAAGTCCTCTACAGGTAAATCTCAGGCAAAAAAACCCATGAGATGCAAGATGGGATGCCAGTGACATCAAATGAGGAAGATTCATATCTCCTGATGCTCCATGTGTAAGAATGATTCCATATGTTAAGTTCTTGTTAGGTACCAAACAAACAGCATCTAGTAGTTTGTTTCCAAAAGGTATTTTTAATTTAACCTGGAATTCAAGAGAATAAAGGGATCAATGATCAATAATTACTTCCTTGCCTATTCAGACAAATGAATAACTAGTTTGTTCTGAAAGCTTCACGATTCAAATCATGGCTTCTAAATAAAAAACAGTATTAATAATAGCTATTATTTAAGAAGTGCTTACTGTAGTCAGGCACTATTATATTTGCTATGTATTAACTCATCTAGCCTTCCTAATAATTCTAGAGGCAAGTACTATTACTATCCCCATTTTATAGATAAGAAAATTAAGGTAAACATGTTAAGCAACTTGCTCAAGGATATAAAGCTACTAGATAAGATTGAAACTCAGGCTTTCTGGCCTGGTTTTCTCTCTTCACTACTATTATTATACTGCCTCTTACAGTTCATGATGAAAGAAAATTACTCTGAAGCTATATGGTTACTTAAAAAACAAAGTAGGGGGAACCCTGAAGATGTAGAACATATGAAAATAATTACCTCTGAATGACTCATTTTCACTGCTGAATAACAAACTTAAAGTGCATTACATCTGAGAAGCAAAGGACATCTCCCTGGAAAGAAGATTCTGTGGTGAAAGGTGGGTTGGCAGATATGGATATGACACAAAAACTATGAATGAACACTGTTAGTAGCTGAAATAAAACACATTCAGAACTACTACTTCTTGGAAAACTGGAGTCCTTACATATGGATTAATCAATCAATCAATCAATTAATATTTTCAAGGTTCCTATGGGTATTTAGAATTGGTTATAGGTCTAGGAGTGGGAATAGCAGATGTGATACCTTGACATGGAAGTCTTAATTTATATCTAAGTAGAATGCTGTGTCTTGGCAATAAAGCTATTTTAAAAGCATTTTCTCAACCAAATATTCTTAATTTCATAGTATCTTTTTATTAACCCATTTCCATCATTATTCTCAATTCTTTGCCCCACCATCCAACAGAAGTATATATCCACACCCTTTTTCATACAATTTTGAAGTGCCTCCTGGTAGGCAGAGTACACATCTTTGGGCTACTGAGGTTTTGGGCTTGGCTATGTGACTCACTTTGACAAATGGAATATAGGTAGACATTTCAAATGCGTCACTTCTGAGCTGGCAAATTTCCACCACTCCTCTAGAATATTCACCCTCTGCTATGAGAAAAGCAAGCCTTGGGTAACTTTGCTTTTTTATGCTGTATCTCTGAAATGAAGATACACAGAGTAGAGCTGAACCCAGAACTAAAATCTGGAGTCCAACCTAGTCAAGATCAGTTAAATCACAGTCAAACTAAAGAACACTGAGTGCGCAATGCTATAAAATACTGAAAATTAGGGGTTGTCATACAGCATTATGGCAGAAATGTTAGTAAGATTTCTTCTTACTGTTGATGATCTTTTATTGTATAGGGTATTATCAATATCAAGATCTCTACTACTCTCCCATTTTTTTCCCTTGCTGTTAATATTTATTGAATAGGTAACAATATGGCTCAAAAGATACTATGAATATACAGTCAAGTCTCCAT